GGCGAGTGGATTGCCTGAGCCCGCGGGTTCGAGACCAGCCTGGGCAACTTGGCAAGACCTTGTTTCCACAATTAAAAAAAAAAATTAGCCAAGCATGGTAGCAAGCCTATAGTTCTGGCTATTTGGAAGGCTAAGGCAGAAGGATTGCTGGAGCCCAGCAGGTCGATTCTGGGGTGGCAGTGAATGTGCCATTGTACCCCAGCCTGGGCGACAGAGTGAGACTCCAACTCAAAAAAGAAAAAAAAAAAAGTTAAAGTTTAATTTCTTCAAAACCCCTAAAATATATATTTTTTAAAAGCCCAGCCTTTAAAAAAGTATATTTCCCTAGCAGGTCTAACTGGACACTACATACTGTTAAGTATTTATACAGATTTGGCGATATCATTGGAACCTAATTACTTATGATTGTAGATTAGGTGTTGATTGTTGGGAAATTTGTGGTAGCATCAGTTCTTCTTTTATTAAGTTTAGAGTCAGTACATGGATACTTTTCCAGGCAGGTATATTCAAACACCTGCAGAAGTCAAGCAGGAAAACATAAATTATGAAGTGGACAGGGGATAATACAAGTAGAAAGCAGCTTGTACATTGACCAACCACCTTTGCCTTTCAGTGTTCTGTGAAGGGCCAAATAAAGCACGCTGGCAGGTAGAGGCAACTGCCTTTTGTAACCTCCACTGAGGCTCTGGGCTCTGGTAGTTCCTTGAGGTCCTTATCTTGTAGCACTTAGCTGCTTTGGAGACCTTGGGGTTTACTCTGAGACTCATGAAGGTGGTTTGTATGTTCTCACTAGAGTGTGTTCTGAAGATGGGTGTAGATTCTCTGTGATAATATAGGCATGCTTCACTTATGTCTGCTTATGTGGAACATAGCCAAGCTTCAGAGAAAGAAAAGGGATTGTGGAGCTGCCACAGATGATAAAGTCCATGCATGATGTGTTTACTAGGAGAGTTCCCAGTCTGTTTTCCTGACACTTTCCGTTTTGCAAATCTTCATAAAGAGCACATAATTTCAGTGATTTGAAGTTATGGAGAGACGAACTAGTTTAGAATCCTGCATCATATAGCTGGCTAAGGAACTCTTCTGTGGATATATGGATGGGTTTCCTTATTTCTGGTATAGGCAGTTAAAATGACAGGTGGCTCCCATGAGCTAGAAGTGAGATGGACAAACTATAAAAGGCCAGGTAATAGTATTTCAGACTCTGTGGGCTATGTGTGGTGCTTTTTTTACATTTTCTTCTTTAAAAATATTTGAGACACATTCTTACTGGGGGCCATGCAATAGCAGATCACCGGCCAGGTTTGACCCACAGTCTGAAGCTGGTTGACTCCTGATCTAGAATATGGCTGTCTAGTAGAACTTTCTGTAGGAGATTACTGACCACTTGAAATGGGGTTAGTGTAACTAAGGCAAATAATATTTAATTTTATTAAATCCTTAATTTTTTTCCAATTTATATAGTCACATATGACTGGTGACTATTGTATTAGACAGTGGATATCTAGAAAATTCACTGTGGGATGAATAAAGCCTTATCTTGCTTTAAATTTTTAGGTTGTGTTCATATATATTTTATTTTACCCATCTATTATATAGGGAATTTTCAACTTGTGCTTTTTATTTTCCCCTTTTCCAACTTACTCTGTTTCCATAATAAAATCTGATGGAAAGATTTTCCAGAATAGCTTCCTGTCTGACCATACGTTTTTCTCCTAATTTCAGTGAGGCTGAACTGGAGGAGGTGTTGACTTTTTATACCCAAAAAAACAAGTCTGCAAGTGTCTTCCTGGGGACTCACTCTAAAAGTTCTAAGAACAGCAACAGCTGTTCTGACAGTGGGGCAAAAGGTGGTAAGTACACTTTGAAGTAACAAAACATAAGACAAACAAGCAGAGAAGTAAGACATGCAAGGGACAATCAAGAGTAATGTGTTGGCTTAGCACGAGCAGTCTCCAGGGTGGGGAAACTTTACAGTGTAGGGGAAGATGAGGGACAGACCTTTTGTCCTCAAAGCATGATGTGATTCCTTTTCATGATAATTAACAGCAGGAAGCTTTTCAAGAAAATCAAATAATAACTTATCTATCTGCTGGACATGGTTTTATTTTTTACTTCCAAAAACCATGTGAATCAGCACTATTATAAAACTTCTTTACACGTGAGCAAATGAGCTAAAAGAGGCGATCCTTTTGCCTCAGCCTTCCAAGTAGCTGGAACTTTAGGCGCCTGCTACCACGCCCAGCTCATTTTTTGATTTATTGTAGAGATGAGGTCGCGCCAGGTTGCCCAGGCGGGTCTTGAACCTGTGGGCTCAGGCAATCCACTCACCTCGGCCTCCCAAAGCACTGGGATTACAGGCTGAGCCACCGAGCCCAGCCTGTCATAGTCTTTAACTTTATAAAGTCTGTTGTCTGGTAGATGAAGTTGGGTGAGTGAATACAAGAAGGTTGGGAAGGGAGGCTAAGGAAGTCTCGTAATGGGGTTAGGGTAGAAATAGTGTGCTGACCTGAGGGGGTGGGGCCTAGATGGGCATTCATGGAGTAGCTTCTCCCCTGGCAGTAATGGGGAAACAGTATGCCGTGTCAGTACTTTTGTACAGATAGGTCATTTGAAATTCTAGGGCTCATGTGTTAAGGACTGCCTTTCCATAAAACGATCTACACCTCTCTATACCCATTAAAAATAACTAAGAGTGGCAGTAGGAAGGCCTCAGTCAAGGAAATGATATTGTGACATTTGGTAGTGTAGCATCTGGACTAATTTCAAACATGAGCAAACAAATGTGGGACACTATTATCACTGCTGGTGGTGATGAACAGGAGAGATTCATATGTTCTTATCCTTTGAAAGATGATCTTAAAAATGTTTTAAGAAAGATGGCCTTTCTTAAATTTTTGTGTGAACCTAGTCCTTGACAAAAGTTTTAGAATATCTCACCTATATGATTAGCTGTGACTATTTTGCTTGAAAATTGTGTAGTGGAGAAAAACGACTGTATTAGAGTTGAAATTTATTGTAGTGATTTTATTATCGAATATACTGATCAGCCTATTTCAAATAATGCTAAAGAGTTTACGATACTGAGCCATTGTAGTATCCAGGTATTATTCTCAAAAAATAGTGGAACTGCTCTTTTTAACTCATGGTAGCTTCTCTGCTCCATATATGTTATTTCTTTTTGGCTCCAGTGGGTATCACCAATCAACTTGATCTCTTAGATCTCCAGTCTGAATTTCTGGTAGAAGTATCTGACTGCCTTTACTGACTATTTTTTCCAGTCATGTCCTAACTGGTTGACCGTCCATGGATGACTGCCTTGGGTTTAGATACCTTGCCCCAGTTCAGTTAGTTGGAGCTAGGTAGGGAATAACTGGGAATCATTTGACCGGTTGCTCACTTAATGGGCTGTGGGTGTGGCCATCGCTGAAAAGTATGGGGAAACATGCAGTGTTTCCCAGCTTTGGTTAGTAGTTGTGTTATATTTTTGGAAACAAAATTATGTATAGAGCAGCGGCCTTGCAATTGGTTAGAAAGCCTAAGCTCAGTATTTCTTCTTTCAGATCACCCTGAGATGGTGGAAGAAGTGAAAATAAAGCCGCCCAAACAGCAACAGGCAACAGAAATTCATTCTGATAAATTATCTCGTGAGTGATTTCAAACCTACCTAAATTTACTGCTCTTTGATAAATCCCTAAAAGAAGAAAATAGTTATCAGATAGTAAATATTTCTAAAGCATTGAACATTACCCCAAAGAAGTTATTCCTTTTTTCTTAGAATTTCCTCTTATCTATTGACAACCTATTTTCCTTCCAAATGATTTCTTTTCTTAAGTTTAGAAATTCTGAGCACTTTCTTTTTTCTTAGAGGCCTGAAAAGAAGGAGAGAAATTAGCTGTTGCTAATGGAAACTGTGTCTTGATGTCCTAACATTTGTGAAATATGCCTGCTCTGTTTTGTATAGGTAGTCCCTACTCCAGCTTGTAGAAAAGATTAAAAGTAAATTCCTATTTCAGTTGCTAGGTTGTCTCTGGTAGGCAAAAATTCATTAATAAGTTCATGATGAATACTCATTAAAATCTATTTTTCATGATTTCTGCTTTATACTAAGATTATTTTGATGTTTTAAAAATGTTTATGTTTTATAGAGATTGTATGTCCATTTTTCCTAACATGATCTGTTTTTTTTTTAATTTTGTTTTGTTTTTGTTTTAATAGGATTTACCACATCAGCAGAAAAAGAGGCTAAATTAGCCTATACCAATTCTTCCTCTACTCCTTTCTCTGTTCCTGCTACTCTTCTGCAGAAAATTCCCAACACCCATTTGCCATCTGCTGCAGCCTCTGACCTCTCCCAAGGGACTGGCCACCTTTCTGCTTTATATCAAATTCCTCCAGTTATCCCCACTGTGCCTCACCAGCCAACAGTGTTACTGAACACAGTCTCTGACAATGCTTCTCCCTCCATACATCCTGGAACACAGAACATACCAAGCCCTGCTGACCTGCCACGCTGTCGATCAGGCAGTTACACCATTGGCCCCTTTTCCTCTTTCCAAAGTGCTGCACACATCTATAGCCAGAAACTGTTTCGTCCGTATTCAGCAAAGGCAGGGGAGTGAGTAAATGAGAGGCAGCCCACAACATCAGCTCCTCCCCAGCCCCCATAAGGAAAAATATCATCTCTTCTCTTTGCCTTTTTTTTTCTTGAATGATAAAGGGACACATGCTACATTGTTTTAATGTGACTGAGGAAAACTCTTGCATTTCGTCCAGCAACATGCATTCATTGATAACGAAATGAAACAGGACTTCTTTTAGGTACTGGAGATGAAGAGATGAATATGAGAAGGCTTCTGTTCACTGGGAACCTACAGTCTAGTCAGGAATTTTCCATCACAAACAACCATAGACCTAGGAGTGTGCTATATATATGCATTCTTTGTGATTCAAATGGTTATTCCTGACATTAGATAAAATAGTATTTTAAGTCAAGAATGACCTTGAATAAATAACCAAAGAATTCTTAAAACAGGGTTTCTCAGTTTAAATTAAGTAGACCCATATTATCAGTTGTTTCCCCCTCATTTTTAAAATGTAGCATTCTTAAGATATAATTCACATTCCATAAAATTCGCCCTTTTAAAAGTATACAAGTCGGTGGTTCTTAGTGTATTCACAGAGTTGTGCAACCAACACCACTATCTAATTTTAGAACATTTTCATCATATCCATAGAATTCTCGTGCCTATTAGCAGTCACTGTCTATTTCTTCCTTCTCCCAGCTTCTAGCAACCACTAATGTACTCTCTGTTTCTACAGATTTGTCTGTTCTGGACATTTTATAAAAGTGGAGTTATACAATAGGTGGTCTTCTGTGAATGGATTCTCTTACTTGGCATAATGTTTCTATCTGTGTTGTAGCATGTACTTTATTCTTTTTCATGGTTGAATAATAGTCCATTGTGTGGGTATACCACATTTTGTTTATGCATTAATCAGTTGATGGATTTGGATTGTTTCTAGTTTTTGGCTATACTCATTATACTACTGTGACCATTTGTATAAGTTTTATGTGGACATGTTTTTATTTCTCTTGAGTATATAGTTAAAGTAGAACTGGTGGATTACATGATAACTTTATATTTTCTCTTTTTGAGGAACTTCCAAACTATTTTCCAGTGTGGCTTCACCATTTTACTACTAGCAATATATGAAGGTTTCAGATTCTCCACATCTTGCCAACACTTACTAGTTGTCTTATCTTTTTTATTTTACCCATCCTAGTAGGTATGAAATTGTGTCTCTTTTTTATGGTTATGACTTGCATTTCCTTAATGGCTGATGATGTTGAACATCTTTTCATTTGCTTATTAGCTATTTGCATACCTTCTTTGGAAGAATGTCTATTCAGATTCTTTGCCCAATTTAAAATTGATATGTTTGCCTTTTGATTGTTGAGTGTAATTTTTATATAGTCTAGATAAAAGCCCTTGCCAAATACATGATTTAGAAATATTTCCTCCCAATCTGCTGGTTGTCTTTTCACTTTCTTGAAGCACAAACATTTTAAATTTTAACAAAGTTCAATTTATCTATTTTTTTATTGTCATTTGTGCTTTCGGTATAATATCTGGAGAACTTCTGCCTAACCCAAGGTCACAAAGATTTTCTCCTGTGTTTTTTCCTAAGAGTTTTAATAGTTTAGGCTCATACATTTAGATATTTTATCCATTTTTGAGTTAATTTTTGTGTATAGTGTGGCTTACATATGGATATTCAGTCATCACAACACCACTTGTTGAGAAGAATATTGTTTCCATAGGATTGTCTTAATGCTCTTGTC